AAAAAGTATGTAGATTAAAAATCTGAGTCGGCCATGTGATACGGCATCAGTAATAACCCAGAAATCACTTGTTTTCTCAACAGTTCACACAACTTTGACAGAAACCAACATTTCGATGAAATAATCATAGCAAAATCCCACGGTATTTTGCACAATTAAGTTTTGACAAAATGTTTATTATTATATTGAGCATCACTGACTTTTCGTAAAGAAGCCGTCAGATCAAAGAAGAAAAACAACCATAGACAACCCTCCTTCCCCAAAACTCGGAATGTTGCAATTTTTTCAACGACATCAGCAAAAAGTCTGAATAAAACAAGCTATTTTTTCGTTTGCGGAAGTTACAGCAATCAATGGTGAGCGCACTAGTTTTGCGAAAAACTAAAAGACTTGTCTTTCTTTTCTCGGCTGTTACGTTCTGCTCTCTCAGCCGTCGGGACTTTGTCTGATGAATCGTTTTTTATTCAGTACGGACGAAGGAGAAAAAGGAAATTATTCAAAGCTGCACACGTGCGCAATAGTAAGATAGAATCAACAAAACACACCCGCACGAGTCGCTGGCGATGACCGAATATAAACAACCCATTGGCTGGTCGGTAGAACGTTTTTAGGGGGGCAATAAACCTTTTAGTGGTACCTGCAAAAAGCCTTCTTCTCTTCATAATTTTTTGTCTAAGATCGCAGAAAGCTGAAATCTGGGAAAGCGAAAAATGGTCGAAAGAAAAAAGGTCGAGCGAAAATTGGTCGCCACGAAATATGGCCGCTAGGAAATATAGTCGCTACGAAAATTAGTCGAGAAATTTTTTTGTAATAAAAGAAGAAAAACTTTTTTTAAAGAAAAGAGTTTCATTGAGACAAATAAGTTAAACAGATGCAAGAAAAAAGAACGGACCGAAGTTACTTAGGAATCTGTTGATTACTTCAAAGGAGCAGATATTTCTCTGATGTTAGCAAATTATTAGAGACTATAATTTCTTTTAATATTAAAATTATCAGATCGGCAGGTTGTTTCGGGGTTATATATAGAACTATTGCAAAAGAGTAGGCTACAGTTTTCTTCCAAAATGACGACATTTACACTCAGTACAACTCAAAAGAACAAGCCTTTGTTACTATGTAAAGGCTTTACTCACACCTTGGATAAAACAAGTGATGATAAAACTTATTGGAAATGTGAACATGCTCAAACTCTTAAGTGTAAAGGTCGAGCTCACACTAATTATATTAATACAATAATGTTATACGAAACTGATAATCACAATCATCCAGAAAGTGCTGTTTCCAGTGCAATTCGAATATTTGAAGAAAAAATTCGGCGTGCTGTTCATTGTAATGAAACTACACAAAGTATTATTGATAATCGTTTAACGAATTTATCGGACGCAGCTGTAGCTCGTCTACTATGGAATCCTAAATCCATAATGATGGATTTTGAAAGAGCTGCCATTAATGCATTTGGAGGTAGTTTTACAACGACAACAAATCCTTCAACAATGTCGGGTTGCTTTTTCCATTTACAAAATAATATTCAACATAAAGTTCAAGTGAGTAATTAAGTCTGATAGATAATTCAAATATTCACACCTCATTTCTTCTCTATAGGAATTGGGTTTAAAAACAAATTATGAACAAGATCCTGTATTCGCACATAATGTCAGTATAATTGCTGCTCATGCATTTCTTCAACCAGCAGATGTTAGTCAAGGTTTTGACGATCTTCATAATTCATCACCACCAATGCTTCATCCACTACTTGATTATTTTGAAGACACTTATATAGGCAGACAACGGTCACAAGGACGATCCAAACCCATGTTTTCAGTTGAATTCTGGAATATGCATCAACGAACAACTGATCTTTCCATGCGCACGAATAATTCAGCTGAAGCTTGACACCGTCGTCTTAACTCAATCATTCAATGTCAACATCCTACCCTTTGGGCTTTCATTGAAAGTCTGCAGAACGAAGAACATTTTATTTATTGTCAATTAATTAAACTTAATTCTGGTCAAAAAGTTGAACAAAAAAAGTAAAAGTAAAAAGTATTTAAATTATAGTAAACATCTGCGTCATTTAATTACGCATCCACATCCAACCTTACTACAACAATTAGAAGGACTTGCTCATAATTTATAAACTGCTATACTTGTCTTTTGTATCTGTCTAACTTATTTGTCTTAATTATCAGTTCGTATAACATCATTGTATTAATATAATTAGTGTAAATTTTATCTTTACACTTGGCAGTTCAAGGTTTTGTTTAAAAAACGTTTTTCTTCTTTTATTACAAATTTCTCGACTAATTTTCGTAGCGACTATATTTCTTTTGCAATGGTCCATTAGAACGCTCATGGTGGATAGGCGTTTAGGTTCGGAATGGATAATATCATTTTTTAATTTAGCTTTTAACGCTGAATAAGAAAAAAATAGCTTGAACGTTCCGACTAAAAATCCAAGTCCAAAAATCTAACTTTGTCCAACATCGACGCTTTTTCGACTTTTCGACACGAAAAGAAGTTTCAAAAAATTAAAAACTACATATTCTTGTACAGTCTTAATCCCTCTTTCGAATGGTGTATGATAAGTTTAAACAAATTCGACTTGAATTTTGAATTGTCCTCATCTTAGAAAACGGTGACTTTTTGACTTTTTTTAGAAAACTGGATTTTTCCCATGGAAAAAGCACGTATGACAGTCGGAAAAGGTTCCATGTATTTAATTTTTAAGGGTACCCTCTCCTTTTTTACCCTCTTGGAAACTAGGGAAGCTGATGTCGGATCCGGTTCTAATTTAGACCAGAGACAGAACATCAAAAAAGGAAATCGATGTATTTTTGTCCAGAATTTTCTGACGTGTTTTTCTATGGGTTTTCTGGAAAACTCCACTTTTCATTAGCGCACATTATAGAAAAGGAGAGAAAAATTTACGAACCTAAAAAATCGAGACTTTCTAGGCTTTGAAGGAAAAACTTCATAATTTTTCCAAGGAAGGTCATGGAGAGCTGGAAGTGGTCTCATTTTATAGCCCAGACTTTCCTCTACATTAGACTACGTTCAGCTCAAAATCTAGATCTATCCTATGATCTCATTCAACAACAACTAGGACAAACACAAGATTCATCTCACACTCTCATGAAAAATCAGCAAATAGTCTATTTTATCTGCAGCATACCATAAAGCTCAATAAATGTTGAAAAAATCAACAGAAAATACTTTGGTTTTTAGAAAGCTTTCCTAGAAACTTTCGGAACTAAAAGAATATTTTTATTGATTTCACGGACAGAATTGGAACGAGCGGCTAAAATAGAGTATTTGCTGACATTCTGAAGTGGGTTGAATGGATTTTGACTGAATTATGAATTATTTAAGTTTTGATGAAAATAATCAAAAAAGGGTTATTTCACTTAGTATAGGTTACCACTCGGTTCTTGCATTTTGTTCTGAAAACTAACATTGCCACGAGGTTCAGCATAGTCGTTAACCTATGTTTTCATTCATTTCTGACAGTCCCAAACCTAACGGCAGAGGAATGTAAGGCTTCAGAAGACAACTGTTTGTTTGCCATTTATCTATCGCAAGAATTTCAAACAATCACAATAGAACCCACTTATATCTTCTGCAGTCGTTTTTATCCCTTTCATTTTCGAGCTTTGAGACAGCGTTTTTCAGATTCAGCTTTGAAAACTGAATCTGCCAAACTAACTTCTGTAGTTTCAGAGCCAAAAACTTTTTCACAAAAAAATCCAAAACCAAAGTGACCAAATCCGTGGAACGTTTTTGCAAACCTTTCAAGTCCCTCTGGAAAGGTCGTAGAGCCAAATTTGTTACGCCATTCGATGCGCCGCCTATAGCTCTACAAAAGTATACGTGTAGATTTTAAAAATCTGTTTTCGTTCTCGAGCTATTTTACTATTTAACTAAGAAGGATGGTTAATCAAAAATCTCGAATTCGGTGTTTTAGTCTTTGGACGTTTCTCTTGGTCGCCGAGAAGTCGCAGAAGGCTGAAAAATCGTCTCACTTTGTTCAGAATCCAATTCTCTATCGTTCTAGATCATTTTCAAAATGTCTGGTTGTTGATAAGGTTTTCTGGAGATCTGGTCTCTGGAAAACCCCTTTGGTTTGAAACGCTAATTTCGAAAATCGCTGTTTTTGTGTCGAAAAGTTGAAGTCTGACACAGGAAACGACAACATACGAGCCCAATTTCATTGTTTTTTCACTGATTTTGAAAAATTGAATTTCTAGGCAACAAAACAAAATCTTCCAGAAAGGATGTACAACTTTTTCCTCACAAGTATCCCAATCAGAATGACGTAAAAGGAAGATTTTTATCTCAAAATCTTAGGACTAGTATAATAATAAACTTTTAACAATAACAGAACAAAGTGAATAATCTCTTGTCAGTATAATGAATACAATAAAAAGAACGTTAAAATACCATGATACAGCTTTTGAAAATGAAAGACAAATTCTAACACAACAATTAACTAATCTAGACGATTCTCATATTTCCTACACCGATGGTTTAACGGTAATTATAAATCATCTTGATATGTGTTGGTTGTCGTATTTTAATTAAAATGGCTTTCTTCAATCTTTTATATGTAAGACGTAAATCAGTTGGGTAATAGTCATGTTTTCACTTCCATTGCGCTTAATGAGCATGTATTATCTGCTTCAATAGCTAATGTTAAAATTCTTTTTTGCAGTTTAATTAAAGATCTTTTTAATATTTTAGAACATCTATCCAGTTTAGATGCAATTTTAGTATACTGTCTGTTGACAGGCCACTCATGTCGTCAAAATCGCCTACGTTTGGACGATTAATCGCGATTTTCAAGAAAATCAACGGTTAATCACGACTTCGGCCAAACTTGCCTGTTAATCGCGATTGGTCGGCGATTTTCGGCAAGAAATCGCAAAAGTCATCAGTTTGAGTGATTTTATCGCGATATAAAATCTCACAATTAATCGACCTGGTAAATCGGCGATTTTTGCACGATTTTCATGACATGGGAGTATTCTTCTTTTCAAATGTTTTCAATTTTGTGATTAATCTTTTCTCTATGATTTTTCTATGTTAAGTTTTAATCATGAGGAGAGGCCGATCATTTGATCAGCGGCGGCTGACTAAAACGTTTTCGCGATCGGCAGGCTGGAATCATCAAAAACTGTTTCGCATTCGGCGGCGGCTGCAGGGGATATATCAGACAACTTTCTTTCACAAACAAAGTGCTTTTTGTAGAAAACTTACACATAGGTAAAATCAGACAGGTACGGGGCAAGAGGGCCACACAGTGGGTATTATTCTATAGACCAGGCGAACATGTGATTTTTTTAATTCACAAAGAGACTATTTTTGCTCAACAGTACTTTATTACGTTTGAAATGTTATTATAAATTAAAAAATCAAAACTCGGAGAAAGCTGTTTAGACAAAAACTCCCTGAGGGGGACCGTTACTCTAAAAATTTTTGCCGAAATACGTTTTTCCTCAAAAATAGCTCTTAGACATATGAGTTGACGCAGTTTTTCGTGCGGAATCCGAATATATATAAATTATTCAAATAAAGTAACATATAAAGGTAGAAAAGTCCAAATTACCTCAAAAACAAAGGATTTTCAGAAAACCTGTAACTATCGGCACAAAAAAAATTGTGAGATTTTGTGAATATACTACAGATACAGGATATACTAAGGAGCATTTTGGTGAAAAATAAATAAGATGGCACCTCCGCTAACTTGCGCATTTTGATTATACAGCACACGTCTGTTTTCCTTATATCAGCGTGTTTTCTTCCTCGAATTCAATCGAACTCAAATATATACATGTATATATTTGTGTGTTTCTAACCCATTAAACTAGAAAAAAACCCGGTTTAAGCACAACATAACAGCTTGTTTATAACTACTCATAAACAAGGAAAAAATTCAAAAATAAAGAATTTTCTTCTTCACTGGTAGATCTCAACATTGTAGAAGGTCGCCTGCAATCTGAATGTCAGTATCATTGGGACGATGAGCGACGAACTGTCGTAATCTTTCAACGTTGTTTTCGTCTTGATAATGGAAAATCTATAACTTTCGAAAGAAGTGCGCTTGAAGGCTGCAACTTTCACAGTCCTGAGTATATCGATGCTGCTATTAGTTCTAAAAATTTCAACCGACTAGGACTTTTCTTGAACGAGTTGCAAAATTTTCAGTTTTATTGTTTTTCCGCTGGAAAATCGGTAAAAACGGCTGTAGAATTTTAAGAAAGGGCCATGGGGACGAACCCTTTTGGAGTTTTTACTACCTCGATATACTCTATCGATCGGCATATAAATGAACGAAAACGGAATTGTACACCTGAGAAAGGTTCCTCGTAAGCTTAATTGTGCTGTACCTATAAATAGCGGAGCAATAGTGCCACAAGGGTCTCGAGTAAAATGCATGATCTTACATTTGTCTATATTGAGTGGTAATTGCCACTTAGTCGAAAGAACTTTTGATAGATTGCGATTAATGTCTGATATAAGGAACTGAGCATTAGTGTTGCTGTTACGTAAAACAATGTCATCTGCAAAAAATCTCGTGCCACAATCGAGATCGTCGCCTAAGTCTTCATTCCTCTTACTTTTCATTCCCCTTACTTTTCATTCCTCTTACTTTTCATCTACAGAGCAGTCGCATTCCAAAACTGTCTTTCTTATAACTACTGTTTCGTCATAGTTAGTAGTCCTAATATCTTTAAGTAATATGTCTAAAACTG